ACTTTCAGGATCACCTATCAGTGGGAAGACAAGAGAGGACTTTGCATTGGGCTGAGCAGGTGCAGAGCAGACATTATCAATGTTTTAGGTGAAGATTTTATATAGATCATGTACCATCCAATATGAAGTGTGGGTTTGGCAAATGCGTGAAGGTGACAACACTATAAGGTAGGAGACCGGTTGAGGATTGTAGGGTACAAGTGAAAAGTGCTGAGATCCTCAGCAGGGTAGGTCAACAATAAGCCACAGATCCAGAGATATTTAGAAGGCAGAACATTCTCGACTTGGGAATGAAGGCAAAGGAAACATCTGCGATTTCATTTGGGCTTGGGCAATGGGGCAGCTATAACAGAATACCATAAAACAAGAGAAATCACAAGTTTATAGAAGAAAATTGAGTTAGTTGAGTTATTGTTGGGTTGAGGTGTCACTAAGAGATTGAAACACTGAGTAAAAATCAAAAACAGGGTTTTTAAAAGTATAAAATGGAATATGTCTTGGAAATTTTAAAGAGAAAAGCCGGTTTCTCCCCATTATGCTCAGTGTCCCCAATAAATGTCAATATGCAGGCTCACTGGCCCCTGAACTTTCATCTTGTGTCCCTGCTGTTAACTAGATGATTTTCCCATTAACTTTTCAACAGGAAGGCCATGTCTGGGGCAGTCTTGACAATAACTATGTCTATTCTCAAAAAAAGTAATTGTTACTTCCACTGAGCCTTCAGAAATGAACAGAGAGTAGGGAAAAAATCTGTGTACCATGAGAATATTTATTCATAAAGAGCACATATTCGTAGAGAATGAATATTCATCAAGAAACAGCCCTTTCCTTAGCCGGCCTTTCTCAGCCTTTATCGCTTCCCTTGAATTGGGGGACCCAGTCAGAGCCTGCAGTAAAGGAAGTAATTTTTAAGGCAATGCATTGCTTAGCTTACAACCATTTTCTCTTTCTTCAGTGTGAGTAGGAAGTTTTTCCCATGTGCTTGAATGGTGCAAAATAGGAAGTGAAGGGTGGGTAACATTTGCGACTTTCTAAAAGATGACAAATAGAACTTTAACATTTAGAATTAAATGTCAAAACAATAAAAAACAATCTCGTTAGCAGACAGGAAGCTGTGACTTTTTTTAAGTCTCTGAGGTCTGATTACTTGATAACCTTAGTTTTCTGATAACCTTACACCCATCTCCGCTCAGCACTTAATCATCTATGGCAAAGCTTCTATCAGATTTCCTGGATTCCAGAGTTCTTACCCCACCTAAACACTTCAAAGCAAATACCATTTATTACAAAGGGGACTTAGTCCCAGACTTCATGGCTAATCTCGAAAAGTCATATAATATTCCTTTCTGATGGGTAAACTGTACCAACACATTTACAAATAAATTTAACAGCCTACGTCTACCTGGAAATATAGAAAGTTTCACCCCTCATCAGAAAGATAGTATTTGGAGAGGAGAAAAAAAGGGGGGGGGGGTAATATTTGGATAAAATCTGAATTCTATCTGGTTTCAGATGGCTTGCTTCAAAATTTCCCAAACTCCAGAAGTTATCTTTGGCTCTGAAAAAGGTTTCTATTGTTGGTTAAAATGCTTCCTCCGTGAAACAACAAAAAATGAAGAGTCCCAAAAAGGAACTTTTACTAGCTCTGTTATACAAAATAATCACCAAATATATACTTTAGAATAAGATGAGCTTGCATCATGGGCAAGCTTACTGTTTAAAGAAGGAGCAAGAGAGACTTGGGAAATTCCCACCAGCACGGCTGAGAGTAGGAAGAATGTACTGAGCTTCCATATATGGCTCTGGCCATTCCACACTTACAAGTCTCAGCTTCTTAAGCAAGTGCTGCAACTTCACAAGCCTTTTGGGTTTGCTGACATAATGTTTCCTTCCAGGCTGGGTGCTGCCTGGACCACTGTGCTCCCTACACAGTGAAGAGTGGAGAGGGTGACGCCGTGCTGGCCCCAGACACCTGAGTTCAGAATCGTTTTTTTGCATTTTGCTTTATTTCTGAGCTCTGTGGAAAGCTGGAAGCTCTCCAACTCTCTCCTGGGTTTGGCTTCCTGTCCACATGTTTTCTGGTCTCATGTCATTGTGCATGAAGTAATAGTCCCACATGCGTGCGTCGTCACAGTGGCAAGATCCATGTGGTTCTGTGCAGGTTTTCTAACGAGGACATTTTGGACCCTCCACCAACTCCTTAGGGAGGGCAGTTTGGAGCCAGATATTTATTACTTAACAAGGACAAGGGAGCAAGGGCAGAGCGCACTTCTGCAGCAAGACTGACGCCATTTATAGGAGACAATTAAAAGACGAACTGCCTAGGAAAAATAAGCTTTTACTTTACACATCCGTGAAAATGTATATGTGCGTACAGCATAGAAAAATGCCTCCAGTTCACGGTTTAAAAATATCAGTTACTGGTTCAGCATTTCCCTCTGAATGGTGCTAGTGTTTTACACTGAGGACTGTTATTTTAGTGACTTTTTTTGCAGCGAAATCTGATGAGTTTACGAAGTTTGAGAGCCAGGAAATGCAGCTCAGTTTCTGAACAACCGAGAAAGCCAAGGGAGCTTAGTTTAGCCATCCACTTGCTTTATGGCGTGGGTTCACAAGTGCTAAGTGCAATAACACTAATACAGAGAGAAGCCAAACCAAACTTTTAAAGTGCAGCTCTTAAACCATCAAGCTTAACTCCCCACCCTATTATCAGCAGGTGAAATTCTGGTGCACACCCACACTTGGTTATGGATGGTGATGTCAAATCAGTGGGCACACTTGCCAAAGTTTTATAGAATTTTAGAACAGGGAAGGATTTGGAGGTTTCTAGTTTTATATTTTATTTTTCCAACAGAGAAACAGACTGGTGAGCTAGTGCTCTCTCTTTCTCTCTCTCTCTCTCTCTCAACACACACACACACACACGCACACACACACACACACATACACTTCTGAGTCATGCGCTGAGTCACTGCTTACAGAAAATATAGGTCTGGCTTAAGATAAAAAAAGGGCAAGTGACCCAGAGGTAGGCCAGTGGTCCCCTGATCCATTTGTGTGGCCCAGCTTCAGAGCTGGGGCCTACAAGTTATCCTTGTTTCAAGAACCGTTCAGGGTCCCAGATTACTTTTTTTTTTACCAAAACTGGAGTAAACTCCAAAACAAACCAAGGATCACAGTGTGACTAGGTCCTGACTTCCCAGCGATGCTCAGTCAGTTCATGAAAGTTACCAGGACCACGTTATAATGAGCGTATGACATGAAGACAAAGCCTGGGGTACAACCCTCGCACTGAGGACCCCTAAGACCTGCCCAGAGAGACAGGTGTTCCCTCGCCGTGGAGGCAGTGGAGACTCCATAGGTAAGTGCTACCTTGTGTGGCACAGATTTCAACTTCTTTCTACTGGCCTCGGGTGCTTACAGTGTCACTTCCAAAGGTGCATTCAGTTCGGGAGAGCAGGAGGTGCCACGCATAACTGTAAATACCAACATTCCTATGTGGCCCTGGAACATACTTAAAAAGTGGACATCTGTGTGATGCTTATAATAAATTGTAATGTTATCAGAGACATGGAAAAAGAGAATATAAACAGACTAGAACTCATCCACTCCCAAGAGAGAAGGAGCTCAGGAGAGTGATCAAAGGGCCGACTGGGTTGGGCATGCCCGATGACAGAGGATGGCGTAAGGGGTGGAGGAGTCAAGCTTCTGCTGGGAATGGAAAGAGATGTGATAAGGGTGATGTGGGAGAGAAAGTCCTGCAGCAACAAGCCAGGGCCAGGGAGGCCCTGCTGCAGCAATCTGCTGTAAGAAGCTTCTGGAATAGAGGGAAGGACCTGGAACCGCCCACATGTATCCTGAATCCCAGAACAAGAGGAGATTCCTGGTCTATGTACTGAGGGAAACGATCTCCACCCATTACCTCATTACCTCTGAGATTCCCCTTGCTGTAAACCAACAGTGAAGAGGTAAATGAATAAATAAATTAAATGCTCTGAATGAAATGCTTTAATATGTACATGGGCAAGAGAAATATTTTTTAAATCTAAAGGAAATTTTGAGTTGTTAGTATTTGTCATTTTTCTTTTCTTGAATAAGATATATCTCTTCTATTTCCTCTTCTATCTCATATATCATATCCACATTTAGATACGATGTGTACATGCTAAAATGGGCTATTTGTGGCAGCAAGATTGCTTCATCAAATCCTTAATGCATTAAAATAGGTGTTTCCTTTTATTCAAACTAAGTTGGCTTTTGTCACATTTTTTCAACTGCCATAAATGCAGCATAGAAATAAATTTAACCACCTGCAAATGTTTACATTGCTGTTCATCATATAATAGCTCGCATCCACTTTAGAAGATTTTATTATTCAACACATTTTTCTTTAAAATAGATCTCATCATCTAAAATAAGACCTCTCTCAACTTTTAAACCTGGAACACTTTGTAAACTTTTAAAAAGAAACTCTTTTTTAATTGTTTTTATGAAATCCAGTCAAAGAATAATAAGAAATTAATCTAGCCAAAACCAGTTTGGCTCAGTGGATAGAGCGTCAGTCTGCGGACTGAAAGGTCCCAGGTTTGATTTCAGTCAAGGGCATGTACATTGGTTGCGGGCACATCCCCGATAGGGGGTGTGCAGGAGGCGGCTGGTCGATGTTCCTCTCTCATCGGCGTTTCTAGCTCTCTATTCTTTTCCCTTCCTCTCTGTGTAAAATCAATAAAAGTATATTTTTTAAAAAAAAGAAAGAAATTAATCTAATGGCTAGTCTTCCCCTCAAAGAAAGAATCCAATGGAAACTTCTACAAAAGGACTAAATTACCCACAATTCTTCAAGGTTTCTGGCAAGTGATTGTAAGAGGAATCAGGTTGGATGAAGTTTAGAGAATATTATTCCTACTGATGTCCGCCCTTGAAGTTGTGAAAGGGCAACATCTGAAAGATAAATCATTGATAAAATGCACTGAAAGCACTTTTGCGTTTCTCCATTGTAGGTGCAAACGGCCACCAACCATCATCTGAAGAAGGTGGATTTGGCAAATGATATGCAGGCTTTCCAAGACTGAGTAATTACAGAAAACTTTCAAAGGTACTCGAATCAAATATTTATCTCTTGAGTAATTGACCCAAGGCGCTGATTAAACCTGAGCACTCCATGTCCTTTGACAAGGGGAACGGTTCATGGGTGGGCAGTTTCTAAGACACTGAAGAGTCCAGCACCTTCCTGTGGTGTCTTCCTTCTTGGGTGAGAGCTAAAAAGGGCCTTCCATGTGGCAGAGCGATGTTGTGAATTTAGTCTTCAGGAATAGCAAAAGAACCATCTGAAAAATGGTATCTAAAGAATCACATAACTGTATTAACATGTCATGAGCTGTTCAGGAAGCTTAGGGGAATTTGAGGGACCGTGAATGGCAGACCAGCTACTCCCAATCATTGGCATTCTCAGGTGTGAGAACTGTATAGTGGTCGCCTGTCTTGTTCTCAGGTTGCCTTCACAGTTTCTGGCCTTGGCCATGTCGATATTAGTGCCAAGACTGTTGGGGGGCCAGAGAGAGTTATAGAGACCCACCTCGGCAACACAAACCTGCTTGCAGAAACGTTCTGAGGGATGTTGATTCACATGACTTTACACCCCCAAAAGTCTTATCTCAAATATTAACATTGAAAGTAGTTCCCTTCCACCTCTACCAAAACTAACCCAACGGAAGCTGTTGAGTTTCTCTTGATTTCCAACTGCGCCTCTTCAAAACCTTTGCCCTTTGCTTGATTTTATTCAAACCTTGTATGGCTCAGGTTGGCTTGAAAAAGTCCCCTAGTCACTGAAAAGTTCATGAACCTCACACAACACAACAAACAAAACCTCTAACAAGACTGGCCTGAATTTCAGGTTTGTCTTTCAAGAATTTAGCCAACTTCTCTTTCTAATACTTTCAGAATTAAACATTGTGTCTTCAGACTACAAATGGCAAGTGATGACAGGAAATAGCTGAAAGTGTATGGGAGATTGTGGTTAGTTCCTTGATCTAAAATCATGATCATTTACAGTTTTTCCATAACTCGCTGAGCTTTGTCCGCAGGTGGTTTGAGGGATCACCAGTAATGTATTTGATGCTGGTTATCCACAAAAAAAACAGTAAGAGGAGATAAGTTGAAGTGTAGGTCTCCTTACTTCAAAATTTGAAACAGGAGAGGAAACAATTCCAAAACAGAAACTAACATAAGATACTTACTTAGGAATAAGGTCAATGAACAGAACTGTGATTTCTTAAGAGTTCTTCATCTTCAAGAGTCAGTTTTCCAAACCTTTTCTTTGTGAACCTCTAGCCCAACACATCACTTTTTCTGAAGGAAAGAAAGAAGATGCCCTTCAAAATCGTGCCATTCAAAATGAACTACACAAGAGTCTGCAACACCCTTCATAGTGGAGCTCCCTGTGTCTTCTCAAGAGGGCACTGAAGCCCTGATTTCTCAGTGCCGTCTGCCTCTGTTTCTTCTGTGTGTGGAGAGGCCACTTTGCTGGGATGCCATGCTGTTTATTACCTGGCCAGTCATCTTTCATTTCACACTTCCCTCCCTTCAGTGGGTCATTTCACCACTTCAAGCGTTATGTGCTTTTCCTTCCTCAGCATGTCCTTATTTTGAGGAAATAGAAATGTGTTATTCTAATACCAGGTCAAGTTAGAATCCCTTGTTCTAATTTAACACACCTGACACTTCCTTTTTTCTTAAAAATCTGTGCGTTTCCTATGCATACAGACTCCAGTCTGCGTTTTCTGGCTTTGGACTAAAAATTCAAAGTCCGACCAGCTGCCAGCATCAGAGGTCTCTACCCCTCCTCACCTCTCCTTTGAGAAGAATTGGATAGATAGCCGAGTCCCTCCCCACCATTGCATCTGTATTCACAGACCTACAGTCCTTCCAGTTGGTCATTTCTGTAGAAAGAAATCAGCCTTTCTCTGTGCATACCAACAGGCAGGCATGTCAAATAACAACCACTTTAATGGGCCTTCGGGTTTCAGAATGCTGCTGCCTGCGCATTTTTGACTGCCTGTCTGCTCGTGTCATCTGGGTATGAAGTTCTTTCATTTAATATTTTTCCAGCTTTCAAAACTGCTTACCTGCAGTTCATTGCACTTGGCCTCATCTCCAAAATACATAACGCAAAAAACAGAACCAGGAGATGTTACAGGCAAATCTCAGAGGCTGCCCAAGGGCCTCCTGACTGTTCGACTTCCAGGAGATACTGTCTTGTCCCAAGCAGAAACAGGTTGTGTTCATAGAGAATGGGGCACCAAAGGGACAATTACATTACACAGCTTGGGGGAGATTTTGAGGGTTCTTGTAAACAATGTTCACACCTGTGGAGCAGTCTGCTATTTTTGTGGAGCCGAGCTGTTGGCTTGAGATACACCTGCCAAAATCTGAATGGCCGCTATTGTACCTTCTGGACTCAAACATGGCCCTGTCAGACAAGGTTGTTTATAAGGAAAGTAAGGTGTTTCCTAGCCCTGTTGATGCCCATTTGGGGTGGAAATTTTTGTCCTAAGCCTGCCTTAGCTGTGCCTACTTGGTACATTTTCTTTCTTTCTTTTTTATGTTACTTTAATTATTTAAGTTATACTCAATACATTCATTTCAATTTAAGTGATTTTTAAAAAAATAGTTCACACACTATAATATAAACTAAATGTCATCAAGGAATTGATTTCCGGTGTGGACCCTAAAATCCACTGAAATTATCTTCTTCTTAGTATCCAGTGAGCATTCAAATCTTGGTCCAGAATATTAGGAGCTGAAGTGGGATGCACTCAGAAGCAGTCTCTAAACTTTGTAATCACTTCTCATTAACATTTCTCATTAAAGAGGGCAATTTATTGCACAGCATCCTAATGTTAGTTAAGATAATGTATTTGCTGAAAAAGACAATATAGTATCCACCTAATACGTAACTTTTTAGTAAGAGTTCAGAAAACCACACATACAACCCATGCCCATAATTTCTTCCTCTATGATTATATGTTATGTGGAATCATAGAAAATTGCTGCTATCAGACTATTTTTGACCCATAAAAGCAGTAGTTTCATATGGTACCACCAAATGAAAACAATTTTCTTCTGATTGTTTTCATTTACCTTTATATCCAACCTGTGTCGTTTCTGCATTGTCTGCGTAATTCATGGGTGAAATTCGTGTGTCATGTTCACAATGGTTATGGACCATAATAGGCGCTTTGGCTCTTTTCCTGTAAAAGATAACAGAAAACTCCGCCTTCTGACCCTTCCTTCACACATCCATTCTCCCTGATTGCCTCTCAATGCCAGTTTTTAAACTCGCGAAGACCAGTGTCTTCTCCTGTACCATCCTTTCATCCCTCTGCACCTAAATACTTTCACATGTGAGTCTGCATACAGATCTAAGTCACAAAGCAAGCATTGGCGTGCACACGCCTCCAACTCTGCGCTCAGGTACAGACACAGAAAAATGGGTCTGTTTAGACAATACAGCCACCAAGCCAGCCAGTTTGCGCTTAGAGAAAAACACCACACTCCAATGGGATGAGATGCATTGTCCGCACCAGGCTGCACATTAGCGGGATCCTGTCCAGTCTCCTCTGACCGAGGCCTGCCGTGGCAGATGTGTGCTCGGGCTGCCTCTAGAATAGCGTTTTGTCTAACAGGGCGAGGGAGCAAACACCAGGGATGAGGACCGACCAGAGGAAAACCCTTTGCTCTTGCCGTCAGGACACATTCGGGCAGGAAGTGAGGAAGAAAATAGCCATTCCCCTGGGGAGGAGGGCTGGGGAGTGGGAGGGAGGGAGCCAGCAGTTTAATTCTGCCGAGAGGGGGAGTTGCAGGGGCCGGGATAGTCACAAGTGGAGATCAGGAAAAAAAAGAATGGGATGATGTCATTCTTTATCCTGGGACAGTCACTGAGATGAAATCAGGTCACACACAATGGTCTTATTCTATGCCCTGAACCGTAGGTGTTACAAGAGATGGCTTCGTGGTAATGCCTTTTAGGAAGGGTTGAAGGACCCAGCTCACGTGAAAAGGGCCCCAAGGCACCTTGAGGAGCCCTGAGGAGGACAGCATCATTCCATCCAGTGCTGAGCGGGTCCACGCTAGGTCCACATTTGTTTAAAGTCACCAAGCCACAGTTTAGGATTTAAAAAAAAAAAAAAAAAGGTGTCTGGATTCCTATAACACAATGAATTTCAGGAAGCGGAGCTCAACTGCACAGCATGGTATCAGGTCAGATATTTTAAATTGGTGCCCTTTTTTTTTTTCAGGATCATTGTGAATGACAATCTGAAGTTAAGGCAGACTATATTTCTCAATACAAAGTTGGCACTTCCGGGGGGGGGGGGGGGGGATACTGCCTTGTACCATGTGAGGGCACTTTTAGGGCTGATTAAGTCTGCTGACAGAGGAAGCATCTGATCTGTGTTGATCAGAGTTCTTAGAGCCACTGGAGGAAGATATAGTCAATTTTAGGTTCCTTCCCTCCACGGTGTCCTAGCTTAACCTCATTCATCTACTTAGGTTTCACACGAGGGCATCATCATTACAAATGGCGATCTTCCAAGAAGTTATCCCTGGACTAGTTAGTTCACAGGGTCAGTTCCTGTTATTAAGATTCTGCTGTTTTTTGCATTCATAGTGCTCAAAACAAGTAAGTCATTGATGGAGGCTTTCCTAAAGGGTATTTTTGCTGTGTGAGCCTTTGTGATGGCAGAACTGGAACTATGTGGGCTTTTGACATTGGCATCTGCAGTTCAGAGAATGTGCAAAACTTAATGTGCAATTTTGGGGAACCACTGGTTTTCAGGTGCATTCAGGGACCTGGGCTGGCCCTTCCCTCTCTTGTAGACGATACAAACATGTAAAAGTAGAATATAGTAGAAATTCACATGTGTTCTATGATTTCCTGTCAAATTATTAGGGGGTTTTGTGTGGTAATCTAGGGTGAAGAGGAAGGAAGTGGTACATTGCGGCTATCAAAATGGAAAGAGGCATATTTTGCAGGAGCCTTTTTGGGGACAGATTCTAACATGAACTTCAGTGATTTCTGCCTCACTTTTAAATTAA